GGCTCCGTTAACTTAGCACCACCATTTCAAATTTCTAACTAAAGATAGATTGCGCTAGAATCTCTATAGCTAGCGCTAGCTAGCGCCACTTTGAGTTCAGCTAGCGCCATTATAGATTTTGCAGAAAAGCCCTTGACTTTCGGGGGGTGCTATGTTAACGCTAGCACCACCATTGCGTCCGATCACTTCCAAAAGCAAGCGCTGTGTTCGTCAGACCTAGCGCCAGCTAGCGCCACAAATTTTAGAGCTAGCGCCACCCCCCAATAGTGAGGGGAGCAATTTTTCCTAGCACCACCATTTTGTCTTTTTATGTAAAATTTTGACGTTTTGTGTTCTGCTGACCTAGCGCCAGCTAGCGCCACTTTGAGTTCAACTCGTGCCATTATAGGTTTTGCAAAAAAGCCTTTGACTTTCGGGGGGTGCTATATTAACGCTAGCACCACCATTGCGTACGATCATTTCCAAAAGCAAGCGCTGTGTTCGTCAGACCTAGCGCCAGCTAGCGCCACAAATTGTAGAGCTAGCGCCACCCCCCAATAGGGTGGGGGGGGCAATTTTTCCTAGCACCACCATTTTGTCTTTTCGGTTAAAATTTTTACGTTTGGTGCTCTGCTGACCTAGCGCCGGCTAGCGCCACTAATTTTAGAGCTAGTTTTATAATTTTGCGGTGTCTGTCCGTCTGTCCGTTAGCACGACATCTCGATAACGAATTGACCGATTACGATGAAATGGATGGATTCTTTATCAAATTTGTAGATCGGAGTTGGTGAATTGGCAATATAGCCCAAAAAAGGTCCTTTTGACGTCTCTGTGAGTTATGAACCGAATTGTATGAAATTCAATATGCGTATAGCTTTAGTCATATAAAACACAATTCCAAAAGTTGAGCCTAATCGATCAACATTCACAGGGCCCTTTTCGCATCTCGGCCATTTACAAACCGGATTGAAAACTTTTTTATGTATGGAAGCATTTAAAAGAAATTTGGTACATAGCAACTTGGAATAAAAGCAAATTTAACGCCAGTTTCAAAATTTGGTTTTGTGCATGATGTGCGGTGCCAATTTTCTTATTTATGAAAGCAATTAAATGAAATTTCATACATATACACTTTAAATAAAAGCAAAACTAACACCAAGTTCAAAATTTGGTTTTGCACATGCTGTAGCCATATCCAGGAGCTCGTTTTCTATATTTATTTACACGTCGATGCGAAAAGGGCACTGTCACTGTTGATAGATTAGGCTCAACTTTTGGAATTGCGTGTTATATAGCTAAAGCTATACTAATATTGAGTTTCATGCAATTCGGTTCAAAACTCACGTAGATGTCAAAAGGGCCTTCCTTATTTTTTGCGCTATATTGCCAATTCACGAACTTCGATCTACAAATATGATAAAGAATCCAACTACAACATTTCATCGTAATCGGTCCATTCGTTTACGAGATATTGTAGCAACGGACAGACGGACAGACACCGCATCTAGGATGGTCAAACTCTTTACCATTTTTAAACCCGAATGTGCAAATATGTCCCTCTTAGGGTCGGAAATAATAAACAAATTATTTTAATTTGAATTCCTTTACTTTTTGGATTGATCGTTCTGTTTAAAGTAAAAAAGTTCCAATAAAAATACTAAAATTTGTATGTAAAGTAGCAAGATTGTAAATATGAACATCCCTTCATTTCAAAGTAAACAGACGGTGAGGTATGCAGGTACAAACTTACTTAAATCCTTTATGAATGCGCAAAAGTTGTAAATTATTTGTCCCATCAAGGGTTTACAGGCGCGTCAATTGTGTTAAGTTTGGTATATCTGTATTGTTAAAAACAACACCTTTAGATAGTAGTCGACGCGACGTACATAGGTATATAATTTATCGGGAGCAAATACACAAGAGCTTGATTTTTAATCGAATAATTTTATTTTTACACGAAAGTTTTGTTGCCACCGAAAAAACTCGAGACCAAAAGTGTGATAAAATCGCGACAGTTTTAGCTGGAGCGATTTTATTAATATTATCCTTTTCGAGAGTTTTTTCCAGGAGGCAACAAAATTTGAATGAATTAAAAATAAAATTATCCTGACTTAAAACCAAGATCGAGTGTATTTTAGAGAGATTGATAAAAGACAGTAAATTTTACAACCACTACATATTTTACGCATTGGTTAGAATTTGAAACAATCACCAAGCTGATTGGTCGTATATTAATGGAGTGGTTTAATCATATAAAATACATATGCCTTATGATTATTTGCACATTACACATAAGTATATAATAAGAATCTGCTTCTTTGTTTTTTAGCAGAATTAACAAATAAATATGCTGATTGATGCGAATACTTTCAAAGGTATTCAAATACTTTCAAAAATATTCTAATACTACCAAA